ATGTAAAGCTGAAGGAACAGTGAGTGCATAATGTCCAGTTGGCTAGCGTTTTTCGGGTAAGTGCAAACTATTTGGTCGCATTCTGAGTGGTATCGTGAAACAACCTGAAATGACACATGCTTATTATGCGAAAACTTATGTAGGTAGATGTGTAAAGCATATTTACTGAAATGTGCTATTTACAGCCGCAAAATCTCAAAGAAAAAAAAATTTGAATTCGGATTTAGGCCCGACGAGCATTTTGCTAAAATTTTGTTCATGCTTGTAAAGACCCAGGCTGGAACACACCATGCGTTTTGCACTATTTCATGCTGTAGCAAGATCACAAGGGAGTACAGTAGCTAGGATTTGTGACATACTGCCATCAAAGTTCAGAAAGTTAATTGTGCAGCTAAGTGGCATGTCTACAAGTGACATCTACATGTTAGCTTCATTGACCCAACAAATGGAAAGTTGCCGGTTTGCAAAAAAGACCTCACTAGACGAGTTAAATTTGAAAACTTTCAGTCGTAGTGATTAGGGAACATTCCTCTTAAGATTCCAGCCTTTCAGCTTCCCTCGTGCCCGAGTTAGCAGTTTTCTCATCAAAACTTTCACATACCCATGCGTGAGACATGGGCGGTTATAAGGAGCTGAATTTGAAGTCTTTTGATCGTACATGAGTAGGAAACATTACCATAAATTTATAGCTTTTTAGCTTTCCTCGTTCCCGAGTTGTCATTTTTGCCGCCAAAATTTTCGTGTGCCTGCACGTGAGACGTAGACATGCATGATAATTGATATCAAGTTCCTCGGGTCGCGCTTAGCCAGGGGATAAACTGCCAAAATCCCAGCATCGAAGCTTGCGTGGTTAGCGAGCCAGACAGACGAACTCACACAAACATGCATCATAGACAGAGTCGTCGCAATATGCGTTTTCGCTGCCTGTTGCAGCGCTCTGGTTCTCTGCTGGAGTGGCGTAGAAGGGCAGAATTGGGTGGGAACAGAAAGCGAAGACTGTCAGTTTAAGCTGCGGGAAGTTACAACAGAGGAAAGAGGGCAGAGATGTTGGCTGGAAAGGAGCTGAGATCTAGCTTGGCGATAGAAACTTGAAACAGGGACAGGAATTTTGGAGGGGGAAAGAAAGGTATGGGTTCATGATACTAGACAAGAAAGCAGATGCTGAGAGAAAGTTAGTGAGCCTGCGCTCGCCCTCCAAAATCTCGTCGGCAGAAAAATACATTACATGCATACGGCTTTGGTTTTCACGACTACCAAACCGAATTTTAATTGCCGAAAAACAGTCAGCCGAAAGCAACCAAAAAAGCAAGTGCGCTTTTTTGATACAAAGGCCCCCTTAAAAAACGTATTAACTGCCGGTCTAAGGGAATGCCGTTCCTTTTTAGCAGTTTTGCTTACTCCACCCACTATCATCTCTTGCTCTAGACGTCTGTAGTTGCTGGAGCCTAAGGATTATTGTTGCAGGTTGAAAAAGATCGAGGAGGAGGAGGACGATGCAGTAAAAAATGATTTGGCGCAAGAATCGACGACTGTAATAAGCACGCCGGATGTACCGCAGTTGGACGAAGATCAGAGAGCTCATATCAAAGAGGTATGCCGTTTGTTGTCTATTTTTTGCTGTAATTTTCAAGTCTTACTGTAGCTTGCTTGCTGCCTCTTCATCTCATTTACTGCCTACCTCCTCCAATTGACTATTTTTGTGCCTTTCCCTCGCCTGTCGAAGAAAGTGGTATTCACTGTGATATGCAAGTATTTTGGGAAATACATTGCGGCTTGTAAAATTAGCTGGCAAATACAAAAGATTGATTTTGCAAACCACAAAGTATTTCCAAGAATTAAAACACGCCTGTTGTCACAATTTGACGTGATATCTGCCAGACAAAAGTGCAGTCAATCACCGCTTCAAAAACATAAGCAATGGTTTGTATAACGATCTGACGCAAATGTGTGGCTCAGCATCTAAAAGCTAGAAATTAATGCATGCTGCCTGCAACGCTTATAGTAATTTCTTGACCAGCACGTTCTGAAGCTGTAAGAGTTATCTGCATTCGCATTTATGACAAATTTTAACATATGGAATTTAGAATGTTCTGTTACTCGTCCCTTCTCTGCTGAGTCGTATGTTCAAACCAACAAAATTTTCGGGTTTGTCTGAGATGTCAAAACTAAATTGGATCTAAACCTGCGCCACACTAGCCGGTGAAATCAAAAAACAAAATTGCTGACCGTTCTGTTTTGAAATGACAAAATCAGCCTAGATTTTAACCGAGGTATTTGAAACGAATAATTAAGGCTGAGAGCGCAGTTCAAGTCACAATTTATGCCTTTTCGGAGAATAAAAGTCGCGAAAATTGCGGCTTGCGATTTTTTCGCTTTCAGGCACAATACCAACCCACAGAGAGATCTGAAAATAAATTTAAGATAACTGGAAACTGTGACACAAAAATCCCTACTCCGTAACTTCCACCGCCCACGAACTGAATTGCCGAAGCAGACAATGTATATATATATATATATATATATATGTACATATATACATATATATATATATAGTATGAGCATGGGCTTATCAAAATAGTTTTCTTTCCAAAAAAACGCATAAAAATCATTTCGTAGCACTGGAAGTCAGTATCATGGTTTAGGAGAGAAGCTTCAAATCTTATCAAATACAATTTTTTCTTATTTACAAATTTATCTTACTTCTACAAATGTTTGTGACAAGTCTGTTCCAGGTGCTTCGCCGAGCTGAACACTCGCAAAAGGAAGCAAAAATAATACTTGATACGACAAATTTGCGTAAATTGCGCGACTTACCATTTCGTGGGACCATCGATGAAAACGAAGAATTTTTTACAGTTGAGGATGAAAGCTTTCTTGTGCAAATGGACTCACTTCCAGAAAGTAAAGATTTCCTTTTTTTTTTCATCCGCATATTTTTTGTAATTGCGCTGTTGCGCCCATATCCCAACAATACAAAGGCGCATCTCAGTTTTGGACTCTTTTGCTCAACATTGTGCGTTTGCTTTAAGTGGCATCTCTCCTGATTCGACTTGTGTTTGTTCAAACGTAGAGATCCTACAAATCTATTTTCGACCTCAATACACTGCAGGCAACTGCCCACCTAATCCTGGTTCTTTTTTAGGGGAAATTAATGGAGTTTGGATTTCGTTTTCTTCTGTCACTTTGGCTTTTCTCTCAGGGCAAAAAAGAGGTAGTTTAGTCTAGGGCATGTCGCTGCAAAATCATATAAAGCGAATTACTTCAATGCGTTCTGTGGTGCATTTTTTTAAACGGTATTTGCAAATAACTTTGGAATGAAAAAGCCTTGTGCAAAAAATTGGTCATCATTTAGAAATTTTTTAATGGTATTAGTTATATTCTTTAATGTTACAGCACTGACTACAACAACTGAAATCTCAAAATATTAATATTAGTTTTTATGCGTTTTTGCATATATGTAAATTGCAAAAACGCACATTGGGGAGAGGCTGTGTGTGTGTGTGTGTGTGTGTGCGTGTGTGTGTGTGTGTGCGTGTGTGTGTCTATGTGTTCGCACTTTTTGTCACCCACTTTCAACTCGAGACCCAGAAAGGCTAGAAGGCTGAAACTTTGGGGATATGTGCCTATACC